AATGCAAGACCAAGCCATTCAACTCCACTTGTAGGAAGTTGTCAGAGAATAATAATTAATAAATGCTCAAAATCAAAAATATACATGGACTGGACTTTTTATAATTGTTACAGATTTACACACACACACACACACACACACACACACACACACACACACACACACACACTGTAAATTTTTTAAAAGACATATTTTTTATACAATGAAATATAACGGATAGTATAGCCTTGATCTATTTAAAAATAATTATTTTATATAATAGATTTAAAGAAAAATTTAAATAAAAAGGAAGGAAAAAAATTAGAAATATAAAATAAAGTAGTGTATTGAAGTGAATTAATTGAAATGAAAGTAGTGAATTAAGGATTTAAAAATGAAATACACTTCATTAAAGCTCTCCGTCGCCATTTCAATTGTCGTCGAGAATCCAAACCGATTACACAACATTTGAAAAATGGCAAAAGGAGGGAAAAACTCATAAGGTGGGGTTGAGATGGGGAGTTGATGTCCGAATGGATCGAGGTCACGATAGCTCAGCTGGTAGAGCAGCGGCGTATCTAGCCGAAGGTCGTGGGTTCGAATCCCTCTAGTGCCATTAACTTTTTTTCATCTCAACTAAAAAAATCCTTAATTAATTGTCATGTATTAATTGGTCAAGCGGACCACGAAAGTAATGAATTAATATAAAATAAAGTAAGAAATAAATATTTTGCTAACGTAAAAAAGTGGATTCCCGTGCATTTCAACGTAAAAATATTTTTACGCCCATGCTTAAAACACTGCTGTTATAAGCAATAAGAACGATCGTTTCTTTAAAAATACTTCAGTTGACCATATTGTCAACGAAGGAGACAATACGAAAACGAGCCCTTCATGTTTTACATCACAAGACTGTTTGTTCATTTTTGTCTTATTATTCTGTTTCATTGTTTTCGTTTTACACTCATAAATAGTATAATATTTAAATGAAATATATACTTATTAAATTTTAGTTTCATAATATTAATTGTACAATTTTGGATGTTTGTATGTTAATTCCAAATTCAAGTTTAATCAAGTTTTAATTAATTTTTTAAGCGCTGTAATTCATTTTAAATATCAAATTATAGTAATAGTAATAGATTTGTGCTTAATAATAGTATATATTCGTAAATCTTGAATCTTTCCAATCGAATCCTTGCAGGATTTATTGTAGTGACTTTCTATCTCTAAACGACGAGTGTCCTCAAAAATTTTTCCTAAAAAAATATTACTAGCTTGTGAGAATTATCTAGAGAAAACGGGACACCAAAATAATTTTTTTTTTCAAATGCAATCACTTCCGTACTTAAAATTATTTTATCAGCATAGTCCCCAGATCTGGTGAATAGCATAGCCACCGTTTTTTCTTGTGTTTCGGTCGGATATGTTATGGTAGGGGAAGAGGTCAGAAATTCCAGTGGTAAGGGTGGTAATCAAACCGTCTACGACCCGAGAGTCAGAACCAGTCGGCTTGCATTGCCGCCCCTTTGAATACTTGTAACCAGGTATTTTTAAACAAAACAATATTTGTATTTAATACATAATATAATCCAGGATTAGGATAAACTATAAGCTTAAAATTGTTTCATACGAACCTTCCTATACCATGAAATAATCTCCAATTCGTTTTCTATCCATTCAGGTTAGCCATTACTTCCATTTCAAAATTTTAGTCAAAATCATATTAATAAACTTATCATTTATGTCAGTATGTTGTTCAAATCATTGTTCAATCATCACATACGTCAACAGAAGAAAATTTTAAACATATGTTATTCAAGTTTTATTGGACGTTAGATTTGTTGGAAATTTGTTCGCAATATTGACTACCCCACGTATGTACGACAAGAGAGGTTGGACTTTTTCCTAACACCAATAAATGCGGGTATGTCTTATTTTTTCTTACAATCAAATTAAAACGTCTAGGGGGTAATTTGAGGCCGAAATGTAAAGCAGATATGTTGTTGACCAGGATTCTGGTGGACTAACAAATAAACTACGTTGAAACGAAAAATAACCATTTGCATTTCCATCAATCATATATTACACAGTACACAGTTAATTGCGAGTAATGAAAAAATCTATTAGTCAAATATAGTTATTTTCACAACAACAGCATATTTTAACAGTAGATGACCGAAGAGAAAATTGGCTTTAAAACATTTAATTTATTGCAGAAAATAGAAATAGGCAGTATTCCCTACTTTACATTTCGCCTTAAAACATTTCTGTCGAATGGGGCCTAATGGCCCTTGAATGATGTAACGTTTATTTGCAATTACGGTCCCAGAGTTCTTCATTTTAAAGTTCACCTTTTTTTTATAAATTGAATAAAAATTGCTGTTGTGCAAATACAATTATTATAATTAAGTTCACAGTAAACCCAAACAGCAAATGTGTCGAAGTTATATTCAGTACTCTATTAATTTTCAACAATGGAAAAAATCATGTTTTAAATTTTTAATTTCCAAAGTTCTTAATGTTAACAAAAACACGAGACAATTTGGTATTTTGTTTAATCCGTAGTTTATCTCTTTCAGACTTCACCGTGGGTAAATGTTTATTAGTTATGAAATGAAAATGTTCCATTCATTCTGCGTTATCAACCCAGGCAAGACGTCCAACTTGAACTCGGTAAGGAGGTGTAATCCAATATAAGTACATTGTCGAACTTGTTGTTGAGTTCTCGGGGCCAATTTGCTATCATTATTGTCGACAACTTTGTTCCAACGGATGACAAACATGTCCACACGAGGCAATACGAATTGTCAATATCGTCGTGTGCCTCTCTGTTGATCGATTAACATCTGGGTCAGCAAATGTTTAAGAAGACGTTTTAACGGGGGTAGGCAATTTGCTAAGGGAAAGATTTATCTACTTCATTATCAAAACAACAGTTGATTACATTATGTTGCTAGACAGTACAAAATATTATTTATAAAATATTCTAGAATCTTACAGATTTAAATTTATTTAAAAAATAATATTTTAGCTTACTTTGCTACGTCGCTCGGTCAGGAATTATGTATTTCAATATCCACGATAATCGAGATATCTTTGGCTAACTGCCAAATACAAGTGACCTAGCGACTTAGCAAAGTAGGTAGAAAATACAAAGTGGATTAGGGGGATCAAGAGGTTGGTGTGAAACTTTTCGAAGTGAGGTTAGTGACGTAAGAAGGAGCTTTGACTACTTGTCTGAGAACTTTTGATTGGAAAAATTGGGCGAGCTGGCGAGCTGGATGCACTACAGTTCTACTCCAAATGTTCAAAATGGTCGCAATAAAGTCGGAAAATAAGATTTTAGTTCAATGTTGCTCAGACCAATTGATGTGATTTCTTGCGAAACTTGACCGGATGTTTCGTGCCTTGGCAGACGTTCTGACGACCAGCGACAGGCCTCTCAGCTTTTGAAAGCCTTCGCCTTACGGTACATAAACTGACATTAACATTTCTAACTTGTTGAAATCGTAGCTTGATCTCGACAACGGTAGAATGTCGATTACGGAGTACATTCGAAACAATATAATTATAATCTCTAAGATGTGACCCGATGGCGACCTGATCCACGTCTTCTTGAGACTCCACTATGTCGGTAGCGATGGAAGACCTTTCCTTCGGGCAGTTGTTCTGGGAATGAATAAAACCCTGGCCACATATTTACGTCTTCTATCTTCCAACAATGCTATGATTCTAGCCGAATCTGTATTACTTAAAATTATCACTCAAACAAAGTTGAAACTTAAAAATGGTACAACTTAAAAAAATAAAACCACCGGAACATTAGAAAAAAGCTTTACAAAAAATCAACAAAGGTAAGATTGATTATTCAAACATTTATTTATAAAATCCAATTGTAAACACAAGTGAGAGATTTCCTTTCCCGAAAAATGATTGAGCAAACTCATAATCCTAGGCATCGTCGAATTATGTACATAATCGGTTCTAGTTCTCCTACCACAGAATAGATCTTGACTCCTCAAGAGCCTCCGAGGCACCAGAAGAGATATTATGGTCAGGGCATCCTCAACTCCATTGCAGATCGTCCAACCAGTTCCGATAGGTCCCCAAAGGGTCGATTCAACCAATCCAATATATCTCTGTAACTACGACCAGCATACACAAACCTATAGGCCATAATTTTAATAGCTTTCCTTTGGACTCTTTCTATAGATGGAATTATTCATGTATGAAAAGAAGACTAAACATGACTTCTCACGAATACTTGTAATGCCTGATTCAACATTTCTAAACTCCCCCGTCATCCTATTAATAAATCCATGGTTACGAAGGGCCTTACCGTGAATGTGTTCATATACTTGCTGAAGTCACCCCGCTTAACGTTGTTGTTAAAAACGCCTTCAAATTATAAGGATTAGCAAAAAGAGATGCTATTTTTTAATTATAAGCTAAGAAAATAATATGTAGGATTGTACTAAATGAGTGTAGATATATAAAAAATTATAAACAAAAAAGAAGAAAAACAAAAACAAAGAAAAGAAGCGGTAAAAATAGAATGATAGTAAATGACCTTCAAATATGGCACATGAAAGGCTGTAAAATTAATTTTTGAATGATCTAATATTTTCAAATTAGTATGACCAGCCACATGGTTTCACCAAAATCCGTGATCGTGCCACGTCTGTACACTCTCCTTTCTGAGTTAATTTATGATTACAACAATGTATAATGTTGTCTAAATATTTTATATCAATAATCCACGAACTGTTTAACGGAAATTACAATGGTTTGCGACGATTTGAACGTCAACCAAATATTTTTGTTTTCTGTTGATTGTCCGGAAGCAAAGAGGATTTCCTTTAACGCAATGTCTTTCCTGCTTTTTTTCTCTCTCCAAAGTCTCCTTCGTACTCGGAATACAAAATACACTCATAAAATATATATTTTATTTAATTCATAATATTTTTGAAGCAGTTCTACAATCATTATTTTTTATTTACTTAATGTTATTTATTTAAAACTAATCGATAAATTATTGTTTAGTTATAAAATTGAATGTAATATTTTACTGAATATTTTTTAAATTAAAACTGATTATTAGTTACAATGGGTTTCTTTAGTATGCCTTAAAGAATTAATTTTTTTTAAATGCAATGACTTTTATTGTTAATACTTTTTTCCATGTCAAATTATTGAATGTGAAAATTAGTACGTTCTAGAAGAAAGAGCGAACAAAACAAAAATACAAACACGCGTTTACTAGTGAAATAAAAAATCAGCGATTTGCTAAAACGACAAATTTTTATATTTGGTATAGATAGTTTTGACTTCTATTTAAGGTGGTATTGAGATTTATAAGTTTACAAAAGTGTAATGGTACATCTTAGATACATTGAAGGGGTGACAATCCTGCATTAAAAAACATTCATGTTGATGCAAATTGCTAGAGATTTGAACTTGTAGCAATGTGTATCGCGTCTAATACAAAGTTTCAATTCTAAAAAAAACAACATAATTTTTCCTCATTCAATAATTTGATATAGAACATGCGAGATATACCAAACATATTTTTGAAATATTTATTTTATTAATTTAATAGTACTTAGCAATGCTACAAATAATTATCTTATACATTTAGGGTTAGTTTTTAAAGACGCTAATGGATAATTTTGTTTTTATTATTACATGGTTTGTTCAATTTAATAATAAGCAATAATGTTTCATTGTATACTTATTAAATTCGATTTTTTTACAAGCGTTCGCAACAGCAGAGGTCCTATCAACCCTTGGGGTGCCGGTGTTTTTGAAAAAACAAAAAAAACATTGGTAAGTATGTCGAGTTTGAATTCAGGGCCGCTGGATTCGAACCCGGAATATTACCTTACAATGATGTGGCGCCGTATCAACGACTTAAACTGGGTACACACTTACCCGATGCTACCCGATCAATTGCATATCCAAATCCCAATTTTTCATAAGATCGTATTACCCGTGCACATCTGCCCGACGCCACTCTACGCTACTCGATCCCCACCGTCCAGATTTTTCGTCGAGTAGCATCGAGTACAGTCGAAGACAAAAGAACCGGACACTCATATTTTTATGTCAAACTATATGTATTATTGTCGTTATATAAATTCAACATACTTATTTTAATATAAAACAAATTAAGCGAGATCAAAAATTCATTAGTTTTTATCTAAAAAAATTAATTTTAATGATTTGGCAGAAAATTGATCAAAACACCGGAATACAATTTATTGATAGAATCAATTTATTTCATGGATTTGCTCATAAAAATTTTGTTCAAAATAGTGCATTAAGAACAAAAGAGGCGTTGCGATTGCGATACACGCTGTGTGACTGCGTTTGACGTCGAATAGATGTGCACACACTACCAAAACGAGACGAGTGGTCGGGTAGCGTCGGTCACGTCGCATAGCGTTGCATCGGATAATTGTGTTCCCCGCTTTAATCATTGCGTCCACCGGCGCCCTCAAATTCTATTAATTATTGTATTACTATATTTATTTTACTACGTCTTTAAAATATTATTTTTGCCAATAATTACTGCAGAAAAATTTACTATAATGTTAGTGTTTTAAATTCTAACGTTAACGTCTTTATAAAGGTAAACATGGATTAGTTATATCATATTTATTGACGCTTGTTTTGCAGACACTTTAAGTGGTCCTATTCTTCACTGCCTCATTGCTTCTAGAATGCGCTGAATTTGATGATTTTTTCTTTCTCCAAACTGAAATATGTAGTTAAAACAATCAAATACAAGTACCATATGTATATGATTTTATTGTTTAGTTGTGATAATGTGCTACTTAATTTACGGGAGGGTAATTTGATTTGAAAAAGGGTAAATTTGATTTTCGGAAGGGTAAATTTAATTTTGGATTTACATAGGCGCAAATCCGCACATCTACATACATACAAACATGTGCCGAGTTGAGCCTATTCGCTTCTCGTAGTCCTCGTCAATTCCCGATTTTTGCTATATGCAGTAAATTGCCAGCAAGTTTCGAAAATCACCCACCCCGGGTATTGGCAATCCAGGCACCGGGGTTGTGTTCCGCGCGGGGGGTGCTGTTAACTGTTAGGTCAATTGTTGGTGGAGTACTCGATATTCCTCCATCCTTCTTATACATATTATACAACTGGTCTAATTTATGGTCGATGGGGTACTCGATATTCCGCCACTGACCTTTTCATATCACACACTCACGCTAATTAGTACATTCACTCTCGAGACAAGCTAGGTGTACACAACTATTATTTCTCCATAAAATAGAACAACTCCGTTTCTTCCATGAATCTGACCCATATAACCGTGCTCAAGCAAAATTCTTAAATCGGGTGCATTCCTGCGCGCTCGGCGAATGGAGTGAACAAATTGCACCTTTCAACTAGGTGGTACACTTCGAACAACCTTTTTCTACCTACAAGACACGTACGCGGGTTTTGACGCAAAAGTAAATTTCCGTGAGTCAACCTCGCATGGCCTATCCTTAATCGGGTGAGGATGACCCCTCTTCCACTAGTCAGACCTCTGCGGGCCGACTATCGACAGTACTCTTTGATAGGTGAGAGCTTCTCTGCCTATTCGTTGGATCGAGCGGAGTGAATTTGATTAGCAAAAGAATGAATTTAATTGTAAAAATGATAATTTCATTCGCAAAAAGGTGCAGTTGATTTGCAAAAGGTGAATTTTATTTGCATCCGGGTGGTGCATGCGCCTCTTCGTTGGCATACATCGGACATTTCTATTGTCATACAAATCTCGTTAAACTTAAAGTTTTATTTAAAATTATTAATTATTTTGATATTAAATTTAAATTTTTATTCGTATTCGTTCAATCATTTTCCTTTTCCACTGTATTTGTTTTTGAGATATGTCCTCCCTCGACCCTTGGCCCAACTAGCAATGGGTTAGGTGGCTATGCCAACCGAGAGGGGCATTCGAAGGGAATTTTACGTCTTTTCCGGTCCTTTTTGTATAAAGGGAGGAGTTACTTCATTCATAACGTTTCTTTGTCCGTTGACTTTGCATAAACTTACTCCGTCTTTGTTGGTTATCACAGCTATTTCAAAACGTATATTAAATCTCATTTCAGTTATGTTAACAGTTCACAATTCCACGGTCAAACTATGAAAAATACCTCAAATCACCATGATTAGATATTAATTACAACATTATTATTGAATTATTATTGCAACAAAATTACCATTGTGTGCAGAGAAAGCATTTATTTGTTTTTTACCAGTGAAGTTGTCCTTTCAGTTTTAAATAAACTGTATAATTAAATAATTTCTGGTTTTGTTACCACGCTTACCGCAGGAATGAAACAAGGGTTTTAATTTTTTTTCAACAGTTAAAGAAGAGATTCCATTCGTTAGAGAAATATTTTTGGATCCATCGGGTATATTAACAGGTGTACCATTATGTAAAAAGTATTATTTATTATAACATTTTGTTTATATCATTTAATTTCAATCGGAGTTAATATTTTTTGTTTTTATATATAACGTTATATAACTTTCAATTGTAATTAATTTTCAGATGGTTGTAATAAACCAGTTATTTTATATTTGAAAAAGTATCGATAATGGAAGAATCATTTGTTTTTATATTTAATTGTACATGACTTTTAATTATAATTGTAATTAATTTTAACGTGGTTTTTAAGAGACCAATAATTTCATATTAAAAAAATCTCGAATTAATATTAGAATAATCATTTGTTTTTGTATTTAATGTTATATAACTTCATTTTTAATTTGCGCATGGTCTTATAATAGCGCAATTATTATATATATGTATGTATAATTATTTATATATATANTATATATATATATAACTTCTCTGCACAGTCCATTCGGTTTACCAGAGCAGGTTAAAAAAAAAAATACATTATTTACATCGAAAGTATGTAATTGTTAGATGTTAACTATTAGTTTTTTTTCCCGCCAGCAACGAAAGAATAGGGAATTAACGACCGAAAACCCACCAAACAATAACCATGAATCAAATTCATTCATTCACTGTTCTATATTTTTTATCAATGGTAAAAAAGACGAATTTTCGTCGTTCAACAGGAGAGAAGAGCATTAAAATCGAGTGAATAACTGGGCCTTTGGTAATTCAAGCGACACCACATTTCCAAGCTTCTTAAGACGTCTGGAAACTGGCATCGTATTTGTTTCAGCATCGACAACTAATTCCCGAGTAACTTGGGAAGGGAAGACAGCCAAATTCCCTAACTTTTCCTTGTCCAACTTCTTTGTTGCTGAGATCAAAATCCCCAGACTGAAAGTTTTCAAATCAACTGTAGAATTTTCGTTTTACTTCTTCACCAAAAACAGCATTAATACGTAATCTATTACATTAATCAATCACAATACATATTTATAAGAGTATTACTACTTTGCAATTCAATAAGAATTTAGGAAAAAGACCTACGCATATCAGCTAAAGAGTCGCCACTAAAATGCTATCCGAATAACTAAACCAACTAGAACACCGAAAAAAGTGCAATCCACAGACGAAAGAAAAATATTAAACCATAGCAGAAATAGTAAAAAACAGAAAAGTTCGTATGGTTTTCATTTGTTATTGTTTTAATACCGTTATTCAACGTTTCTATTCACAGCGATTATTTGGGCTCTTCGTTCCGATTCTTGGAGGCTGAGGATGTCAATCCATCTTTTCAACGATTGTCATAGCGTAGAATTTGGACAAAATACAGAAGAGTCGAAGAATCATAAATTTTAATTAGAACAGCAGGACACTGGAAAAGATTGTTGCCCCGGGCTACTAACCAGCCGAAATTTGTTTGTTTTTTTCGTTTTACATAAAAATTCGCATTCAAGGGCTTTACAAGGTGCTTAAAAGGAATCTGAATGGTGTTTTCAAATACAATTTTTTAAGACGTGCTCTACTGAAAGGATCTTTTTTTACCTTTCGTTTATCTAATCTCTTTAGAGCAATCCTGTATATTATGATTATTCGGAGATCGTGAGATGCGGTCTGGTGTGAGGTAGGTTTTAGAAAAACATTTTCTTTATCGTGCGAACGTTTCGATCTTAATGAGATCATCTTCAGGGCTCAAAGTGTTTGTTTTCTGCGTAATTGTGCCATTCTAGTGTGTCGTGTTGACTGTGGCAACCCACTTTCACTACTCCTACTATATGAAAAAATACTTAAAAATATGAATAAAATTGCAAATTTTTGTTTATTTTAACGCATGAGCGTATTTTACCCACAAGTCGATAGTGAGTTTCTTTTTATGAATAAACGACAAAGTACTCATATGATAAGGTACTAATTAGCATCGAACGAAGAAATTATTCTGTCGATACTTGAGTAGTATTATTATTATATCGAGTACTGGTATCGAATATTTTGTGGTATCGCACGTCCCTACCTAGAAATACATGCACAACAAAGGGAGGAAATCATATTTTGAAAAAATTGTGTTCACTACTTAAAATATTTTTAACTCGGTTCTTAGGGCCCACTGGCAAGAAAGTGAGGAATATTTTCCGACTTAGAATGGCTAACAAAGTTTCGTTATCATTGGCGATACTACGTACGTATCCCACATGCATGATATTGATATCTAGAATGTTGGTTTTAAAATGTTTTTGTCACCAAAGTAGGTTAAAATGATTAAAAAAATAAGATATATTTATCTGCTAATTCTTGGGGGGGGGGAGGGACTGTTCATGAGTTATAGCTAAAAGCCAAATAGGATGCTAAAGGCCTGATTTTTTTGATTATTCGTGTACTTGTGGATATTATAAACAAATTTTTATTATTGTATTTAATAATATTTTTTTATTTACCGGCGTCGATACATCGACGGGCTGTGCAGTGATAGATTTATTTTTTGCGTTATGCTGTCCTTCCCCAAAAGGTCCGATATGTTGTCAATCCGGTTTCCACCGCTGATCCCAGTCCAACTCCTCAATTCAGTGTTGAACCTGAGCGGTTTTATCTGAAAATATTGCTACGACCTTTTATATTGGATTTCCGCGAACGAAGCGATAAGACACTTACAAAAGTGTTAACGTTACTTCTTCTGGCATGGCTGGCGTTTTTCATTTTCTGCAAGTCCGAAGTCGAAACATTCACATTGTTCTTCGAATTAAACAATGATTTCTCCTTAGCCCTGACTAGTAAAATGTTAGTCAGAGATCTTTTAAGACGGTACGATTGCACTCTGGCCCTTGCTTTCCCACTATAGAAAAGTTCGTGATTCTAAAAAAAATAATATATATATATATATATATATATATATATAATTGTATTTAACGTACACAAACACATTGGAAGTACACAATTAACACACGAATAAATATAAAAAATAACATGCAGCCTATTATCTTATTTGTGCTCTCTCCATTACGATTTTATGCTGTGTTATTATCGTTTCTCTTTTCTTGAGTTAACGTGAGAGGTTGTAAAGTGGATGTGGGTGTAAAAAGTCCAGCCGCCGCGGGGCTGTACATTAAAAAAAAACAGTCTGAAACATCACACGTTGACGTTTGAAATAGAACATGAAATCACACTACGCAAGATCATAAAAGAACGCTCAGTTTGCATTGAAATATCGCAACAACCTTCTTTTATACAAGGAGAAAAGAAAAAAAGAAACGAATACACTTAAAATGCATGGTGGTGAATCGCAGTGGAAGTGTTCAGTCATTCCAATCTCATGGAATAATTTATTAAAATTTTATATTATATTCAAATTAGTTCGTAATAAAGAAAAAAATTCAATTTTTCTTTTCCAAGTTGGTATAATGTTTGCAGAGTTACAGAAAAGCATTCTTGTCATACACGAGGGATCAGAACCACATTCCAATCTTTTATCGTATTAATATAAATTCATAACTCATAGACACTGCCAGGATTCACGCCCTAACTACTTTTAAAAAGACAGCCTAAACTGCCCAATAATGAATAGGGATATTTGTAACTTATTCTTATTCTATTAATTTTAGTTAAATGGAACGATATATTCCTGTTAATTGGATAAAGTGCCAATAGGAGGCCTGGTAGTGGATCGCAGCGCATCACGACGCTACGGGAGGACAGAAATATTGTCATTGCAGCAAGACGAATCATTTCCATTGCCCGCCAGATCGTAAATGAAGTACAAGATGTTTTGTCAAGGCCTTTATCAACACAAACGATTCGTAATCGGATGCCCCTTTGAGACACCTGCAGGAACTGCCCGCCACCAGCAACACATGAGAATATGGTGGAGCGAGCGCCTAGAAGAGAACACAAACGGAATACTGTTACGTTTACTGATGAATCGCCTTTCTGTCTGTATAGTGATAGCAGGCGCCGAAGTGCCTATCTAGAACAGGGGATGCGTACAATGCCAGAGTTCGTCCTCCCTTCAGTGAAGTTGGAGAAGGCCGTGGAATGGTCTGGGCTGGAATTTACACTGGAGGACGAACTGGACTCCGAATTGTTGGAGGCAACCTCACCGCAGTCCGTTATGTCCAAGAAATTATCGAGGAATACATCCCTCAAACCAGGGATCTCACTGGCAAGGAATTTCGATGTTCGGATGACAATGCCAGACCTCATAGAGGCAGAGTTGTTCATCAATGTTTAGAAAACCTATTTCCTTTGTTCCCCTTTCCCCCATTGTTTCCAGACGTCAATCCCATTGATCACATATGGGATGCGTTGCAGAGAAGGCTTTTCGATCACCATCCGCAGCCAGTTGACTTGCAATAACTGAGTGCAGCGTTGCAACATCTATGGAGTGAAATTCCTTATGAAATTAGGGACAACAGTATTCCTTAAGAGTATGCCTACCAGGTGCACGGAGGTTTTAGCTAACAGAGGACATTATACACGGTATTAATTGTTTTAAAAAATTATTGTGTCCAATAAACAAAATTATATAATTAAAAACTTTTATTTTGTTATTTTTAAAAATCCCTTAATTAAATTTTCCTTCAGTAAAAAACATAATAATTACTAATAAATTTTAATGTAATTTATAATAAAAATAAAATAAAAATGCTACAAAATAGTTAAGATCCTTATTCATTTTTGAGCAGTTAATTAAACATGACAGGCACTTATATACCATTACAATTCTCGTTTTTGAATTTGAATTTTTTCATTGGTGTCTACTAATATTCGGAAAATTTCCAAGGATGTATGTCTCATAGTCCATTCCGGCGAAGTGTGTAAACCTGTCAGTTTGGGGGGGGGGTGTCCAATTTCGGAGTTGTCTGTAAATACTTCATTTCCTCACCATTGAACAATTCCATATTGATAATTAACAAATCTGTATTACTGGTAAGCATGCTGCGAGGGACGAGAGGCCGAAGGGAAAAGCAAGATACAAGCTGAGCCGGACTGTTCATCTTCAGTAACCAGACATACTCCATTGGTCGGAACGACGCCCTTGTGGGCGCGTGGATACGTTCTTCGCCTTGGAACTCGAAAGTTGGCGACACATGTCCATCCTCCGTTCCTTATTATTTTTTTCCTCTTTCAATTTTTCATTTTTTTCACTTTCTGCTCTTCCCCTTTCTTTCCCTCTATTCTTCTTTTCCTAATTTTTGTATTTACCGTTACCCAAAAATACCATGGCGCTCAACTATTTCTTCCCACTCCCTACCTTTCTCCTTTATGGGGGGGGGCACATTTTGTTCTGGCCGAATTCGGACCGCAAAAATACCTGACTGGCCGCTCTTTCAGGTCAGCCAGGGAACATCATTCTCCGACTACTATCATGCTAAGGCTGGAGTCTCACTGGGTAGTATCCTTGGTCTCATCCTGTATTCATCTTATAAGGCTGACTTCCCTACACAACCTGACATATTAATTCACATTTTACAAATGATATCCTGTCCTCCCATAAAGATATTTTTTTGCAGGGAAATGTGCTGAGACCGTCCTATAAAGGGTTAAAATTTTTTGGAAGATGAGAAACAATTAAAACAAGAGGTTAATCAAGAATATTATGATATCCAGGGTTAAAAATGTATAAGTAAATTTTATATCTAATTGTCTTTGGATTATCAACGCATGCTTAAATGAAAACGAATTGTTATTCAACATTATTTATCTGACACCTACTAAGATACTGTTATGTACTGTTATCAAAAACTGTAATTGTACATTTTTGCTTACCTTATTTCTGCACGGCTGAAATGCATTTACGACTATTTTGGAACCATTCTCCAGAGTCATTTTCGAAAGGCAGTGACATGATAGATTACGGCCGGGTGCGTTATTTATATCTGTATGGAAAACAGGCCGGCGGTCGCTCGTACTCGGTTTTTCAGTTAAACCGTTAAATTTGTGAACTGAAATATTTCTTTAATTAGTTCTCGTCTACAATTGTAAAATAATAATTCGGCAAACGCACCCACGGCCTGTTGATACCCCTGCGCGAGAAGGGTGAAGAACGTTGTCAAGTGTTTCTGAAGCAGACACTTATTAAAACAATAATACAATCCAAACATAAAACATGTTACATTAAAAAATAGATTTATTCCTATATTTACACCTTCAACTCTAGTTCCTTGTCAGTTATGACAAAACTTTTGGCAGAGAAGTTCCTTAACGATTTGAACACGGAGATCACTGTGGATGGTTTTATTAGAGACTTAAACAGTGGCATTTTAATTTTTACTTGGGGTTTTGGTTTGAACAGTATCTAGGATGAATTAGAATGTTTGATTGAGTCTCTATTCCGAAGTACACGCAAAAGGCGAAAAACATGTTTAATTTGTGTGGGTCCATTGACGAATGGGAGTTTTGTTATTTGGTATAGGGGAGATTGCTGGTCGAGTAGTCTCGACTCTAATGTCATGGGGGAAGTAGGAAAGTCGGCAATGTATATTGTCAAAAGGATCAATTAAGGATATGTCCTTGATGGATGTAACAAATTTAATACCGCCTTAATCTCCCTCTCTATGTCTATCAATATCACTCACTTTCTCTCTCATTTATATTATAATAATTATATTAGCCTCTCCATCTCCGTATAAGCCTCTGTGCTCCTCACGACTTCAACAAATTGTAAACACAACTGGTCTCTCAGCAACATCCATTTATACGTGAACTTTGCAAATTCGTAAAAGTTTTTCTTCTACGTAATTTTGTATTTTCCTCGTTTAAGTTTACAATAAACAATCAAATGCACATCATAGGTTTTTCAATGCTTGTTCCGTTGGTGCAATCAGATGTACTGTAGGATTAATATTTTATGAAGGACGTGGGTTTTACGGGGGAATCTCGAATAAAATTGAGAAAAGACGACCGTTCACGAGACAACCTATACGTGTCTGTCGGTATATCAACTAACTTACTCACTCACCCTCTCTCTTTCTCTCTTTCTCTTTCTTTCTCTCTCTCTCTCTCTCTCTCTCCCTCTCTGTCTCCTCTTTTCTCTCTTTCTCTCTCTGTCTTTCGAGCTCATAAATTAGCTTATCATATAATTTAATGAATTTTTAATATAATTTACTGAATTTTATGTAACTATCTCAGTTTACAAGTATTTCTGGGAATTTATTTCGGTTTTCATTGTCACGCAAACAAGTTTGTATATTAAAATTAATGATTTGGGGTATATAGGCTCAACTCTGCAGACTAATATATTTGTATTATAATAGTAAGGGAACTTCTGACTTCTCGCAGTAAACCGTCAGGCCTAGGTCTTATCCACTCTTTCGCCGAAGTTTTTACTTCAGGGGCTGTAAACAGATAGGTATTTTTATCCCCTAATGCATGTTTTTAAGGCTAGGTATAGTCTCATTCGTTTTGGTCAGTGTTCTACCCTCCATTATACACTGAGAGTCAATGGAGTATAGAATATTCCATCGGCCCTCTCACACTCTAAAGGTGTCCTTTTTTAGATGGCCCGGCTGAATTTTGTCTTGAACCAATGAGGCTAACAAAAATCCCTGTATAGTAGCTATTAAATTCATTCATTCGCAATATACGCAAAAGGAAATACAAAACAAGGGACCTTTACGTAATATGTACAATAAAATAACCATGGTTCTTCAAAAAATCGGAATAGGAGGCCAAGACACTCATTGCCAAGGACAAGCTAGCAATCCTAAACGCTCTCTATAACAAGACGAAGAATGAGTACTTTCGATTAACTTGGGACACTTTGAGAGACCCCCATCCACATGCTGAACACGTATTACGGCTTTGGACCAAAAGTAAGTGTCTGTGTGTCACCTCACATGGCCTATTCTTAACAGGGTGATGATGATACTTCTTCTACAATTCCGAGCTTAGCTGCCGATCAGCTCCTACTGACGCTACCATTTCCTTTTAATCATATTTTCTAATATTTCTTCAAATGATTTACATATATTTTTTATTATACTGCTGATGCAAAGATTAAGTGAAAAGATTAAGATGCTTTCAGTATTTTTTTAAAGACGAGAAAGTACGTTTGATGATCTGTTCCAACCCTTGTTGGCCCTGAATAAAAACTATTTTAAACTTTAGTAAGGAGGAAAGGAAAGATTTTTTAATTTGCCATTCGACCGCCGCACAAAGGGTGTTATTATTTCATTTCAAATTAATACATGTATAAAAAAATTTCCATTCTTCCTATAACGAGAAACGTATTGAATAATTCATCGCTGTAATCGATTGTCGATTACAGAGTCAAATTGGGAAATACTAACTGCCCCGGATTGTCGGGCACCCAGCAAATAAAGCTCGCGAGAGGGAAGTGACTATCGAAAAAATTGAATTAATTGAATAATTGAAACTAACACGAAAAACGGTTTCACCAGGCCCAAATACATTGCGCAACTTTGTACAAGTCATTAATTCACTATTTTCGTGGTCCGCTTGACCAATTAATACAAGACAATTAATTAAGGTTTTTTTTTAGTTGAGATGAAAAAAAGTTAATGGCACTAGAGGGATTCGAACCCACGACCTTCGGCTAGATACGCCGCTGCTCTACCACCTGAGCTATCGTGACCTCGATCCACTCGGACATCAACTCCCCATCTCAACCCCACCTTATGAGTTTTGCCTTATGAGTTTTGTCGTATCTAGCCGAAGGTCGTGGGTTCGAATCCCTCTAGTCCCCTTAACTTTTTTTCATCTCAACTAAAAAAAACCTTAATTAATTGTTTTGTACAAGTCATTAAAACTTCTTTTCTTCTTTTTTAATTTTAAATTCGTCTCTATTTATATAGAAATCGTGTGAAATTTAGTAAATTATTTAGCAAACAGAAACAACACACTTTTGAAAAATATATTAATAATAAAACTTGCCAACTGCAAAGCTAATGTAGTTACATTTCATATCTTCTTTTTTTAAAGACTATAAAAAATAATAAGTCAAAAACCGTATAAATATACAATATAATGCACACACGGATGTGTACAACATCTCTGCTAACTAGTGTGGAATCCTAACATATGACTAAAAATACAAATATCTAACAAAAGACCTACAATTAGACAAGTACGAAGGCTACGGGGACTTAATCAACGTATAACCAAATTTAAAAATAAGTAAATAGAGACAAATGGTTGTTATTCTCCTGATAGCACATAAAACACTTACACTCAGTCAATTTAACCATCGCACAAACGTCATTAATATCAATAATACAAGTCAAGTCTTAAGAAAAGCCCGTAGTCACCTGTTGGTCATGCCAAGCCTCGCTTTCTCGATTTCACCAACGATTAATATCCACGTTGACAACATTTCATTAGGACAACTACAAATTACATTTTATCTTGGAATAAATAGTGTTCATACTCGAAAAACTAAATGTACATAAAAGTCTTAACAACAAGATTAATTTAATCTACTTGTAAAATGCTTTAAAACATATAATACAGAAATATTTAGATTTTGTGTTAAACGATATAAAAACATTAATTTTTTGTAAATCGAATTTCCACATCACATTTAATCGCTTTCCTCTCCTTTGGAAGTTTTCCTCTGTATGTATGATAGCTAAACCTTAAAATCATCAGCCTTCTTCCTATCCACGGCAAAGTTCTTTCAAGCTTCTTCTTCTTCGTCGTCACACTTCGAACCTTTAAATATTATCGCCAATCACGAATTCAGATTCTGCGGCTATCTACTAATAGTCGAGAGCAAACCCATCGTGTTGTCGACACCATAGCCAACTCCTTCGATGTTAAACTGCCTCGGTTTTTCCTTGGCATATCCCAGGCCTTTGATCGCGTATGGCACGTGTGCTTGTTGCGGAAGCTGAAGGGCAGCCTTCCATTTACATGCTACCTTAATCCTTCCTAACAATCCGATATTTCCAAGTAACCTTCCATAAGTGTTCCAAGTAACACCTCTTCCTCTTCTATTTTTCCCATTTTAGCCAACTTCCCCTAGGAAGCACACTTCCTCCATTACATTGCGCCTTGTTTACAGCTGATCTCCCATTACATTCCGACACCTTAGCCTTCACATACGGTGATGACATGAAAATCTTCTCTCCAAACAAATATAGTGTAACTTCTCTCCGCATCCTCCAATCCCATTTCATACTCTTCGGCTTCGGCAGTGGAACATCACGGTAAACGATCAAAAATCTAAATACATAGTTTTCACTCTTAATTGTAAAACTCTCCCACTGTCTATTTATGTGACAGTGTATATACGGCGTCCCAATTCCTCCAGGGAATACTATACGATATCTTGGACTTTACTTAGACAAAAACGAATACATATTACGTACACACACCCACACGACTAAAACGAATTGACCTTATTTATAAGGGTGCTGAAGAGACTAAGTGACAAAAGATCTAAGCCGACCTTACTCTGCCCTAATTGCCCCAATTTGGAACTACGGACTTGAATTGTACGGGACAGCCAAGCGTTCCAGTGAAAGAACAATCCAATCCCTACAATCCAAAATCCTTCGCACAATACTTTTATGGGCTCGAAGAGGCAAAAATTAAAAATATTTAAAAAAGTGTATTTCAGCCGTTGTTTTGCATTGGTTTTAAGGTTCTATCAGGTAATATCAGTCGATATGTTTTCTTTTGTTACCTAGGATAAAAAAATAGTTATCAGGATTGTATTTAATGAGATTAGGTTTATAAGAAGTTAAAAATAGTTATCAGGATTGTATTTAATGAGATTAGGTATATAAGAAGTTTTAAAAATCAAAAGAGGATATCAGGAATTTCTGTCACACGGGAGGAAAACATCAAACTACTTGTTGGATGTGACGAACGATTCGATGAAATGAAAACCTTAGTGTCACGAATGGGATCGAACCCACGACCTTCGACTTAGTCGATTTCGTATCCCGTTAGATAAAAAGTATAATCAATTGGTATTACACGACTGATTTAAATCACGATAAGATAAAAATAATTTCAGATTACAAAAATAAATATTGAAAAAAATCTTTTACCAAAATGTTGTGATATTACGTTATTGATTTCAATCACAATAAGATAAAAATAATTTTATAAAATAAAAATAAATGTTGAAAAAAGTCTTCTATCAAAATGAATGCTAATCTTTGACATTTCTCGTTTTTGATAAACAAATTGTTTTAAATAAAACGTAGATATATGAGTCAGGTCAGATATGATTTTGTATGGAAGATATTTTTAACCCAATATTTATTGAAATTATAGCTTCAATACCCTTTGTTTTTATTCTTTATCGTGCGGTGTAAATAAATAAAAAAGTGAATATCTGCACCTGACCCTAGTTAAAAGTGATAATACGATCATGACGTCACAGTCATACCGTTAATAATACCATATATGTGTATTAATTATTCCCGTTTTTATGACGGGAGGGTAAGTACTTGGGATCACCCATTTCAATAAAACGTATTTGGTGATACTAAGTAGAAAGATTTAAAAACGTGGCCCTAACCGTAGGAACTGAGAAAAAAATATGTTAATAAAATTTACAAAATTCTTTTTAATATGGATTTCTATCCTTATACAGGCATTTGAAGGTTATTATATATTATGCGGTTTGTTTGTTTATTTCATCTAGGATATGAAATTAATAGAGTTGTTTTATTGTATATCAAATGCCCATCAAAAAACCGAGCACCCTGTTTTTGCACGAACAAATGGCCCGATCGGGAGAGGGTGATGGGTTTTTTCATGAACATACCCTCTTTTTACTAATACCCTTTTTGCACAGAATGTAATTAGTTCCATGGTATTCCACGTTTTAAGTGCTAATAATGATTTGTTGAAAGTTGCGAATTAAGCTTTTTGGCGTATAAACGTGCGATTTGCCCTTCCGTACACAGTTTGAAGGCTATAATCTTTAATTTATATGCTTTTTCATTTTTTTTAAATCGCGAATAACTCGAAAACGCTAGAGAAATCGGGGAAGGTCACCGATAGAAAGGTTATTAAAATTTCCTATCGATTGCTGTAGGCCGCCGGTTCAAGAACGATTTCCTGACTCCACAGCTCAATTTGAAGTTTTCGTAAAAAGTGCAAAAATTAACATGTTACCGAATTTTTCAATTTACTGATGAATCACTGAAGCTATGAAAACATCTACAAGGCATCTTCTTCAGCGTAAAATCTTCTAAGAAATGGGACCGAGTTCAAGTCAAAGGCTGAGAAAACATACATTTCGAAAGTTGGCCATTTTTTCGTTCCAAAACCGGGTGTCGGTTTTTTTTGACGGGCAGTGTATATAGAAAAAACAACACTGTTTCCTCCAAGAATCGTCAGAGGACCCAGATACTCTGCTGCGCACAAGCACAATTCTCATGTCAGGTGGCATTCCTAAGCGTTCTCTATATGGAGCCAAGGAATTGCACCCTTAAATTCGGTGGGACACATCGAGCAAAATTTCTCTACATGTCGGACACATACGTGGACTTTGGCCCAAAAGTAAGTGTCAGCGTGTCAACCTCGCATTACCTACATTTAATCCGGTGAACATTACCCTTCTTTTGCGAGTAAGGTCTAAACAAGATTGATAGTTGACAATCGTGATATTATGGGAGAAAATTCATCACGCTGGTTTGCTATCGAAATAATTGAAAATGTTGATTTGTTTATTTTTTGGAATAGGTTACACAAGGAAGAAGATACCCAAGAAAAAAAAAATATATGAAAAAATAAACTTTTGGAACAAGTATGCACATGTTTTATTTTATTATACTATATTTGCGTTATTAAGCTAAATTGTAATATTATTGAAGTTTCCCATCTTTAAGGATGTTTGCCGTTTCGCCGATAATAGTGTTGCTTTTATAAAAATTGAATATATATATATGTATGTGCAACTGAATACACAAATGCTCAATCTTATATATAAAAATTAAGGACATTCTTAAGGGGCTGGGGTGGGACTAATGGGAAGGTTAAAAGGTGCCCACTCGAAATAAGACCCTCCAATTAGCCTATTTCCTCCGCTTTAACATGATGGGTGGTCAATTTAGGTATTAAGGGCAAATTATTACAAGCTGTGGGATTTCAAAAGATCCTAGCGATTACATTGAAAATATATTTTAAAAATTAGTCGTTTGATAATTTTTTATATGTGCCAACAATTTTAAACATTCTTAGACAATGAACAGAAAAACACGACAAATAGAAGAATCATCATTCATGCTTAACTTATACATATATTATTGGCAGAATTTCTCTTATGATTCCTTCAATCACACACTAACTACTTATCAAATGGAAAATAAACTCACAAACAACATGTCGCTTTCTTCTTTCGATGATTTCGAGTCGAATGGTTCTGAGATGCAAATTAACTTCTTAATGGGGGGTTGCTGACTTAAATAGTTTTTGACAGGTGATAAAAGCGGCGGAACAAATTGCATTTTGCTTTTTTTAAGATTGCGTAAGCCCGTTATCGCGAATTCTGAAGATATCGTTAATGCTGAAAACTTATCTAAGAAAATTTGTATTGTTCCTTTAGATTCTTACAATTGTATCTTTATATTGGCTTAACTTAAAACAGCTTCGATAAATGAGATTACCATTATCGTATTTAAATTTCTATAATGAATAATGTACTGAATCACTGCATTTTATTCAATTGCAATTGTGTGAATTTATGATAAATGAGGTAGAATATTAAATAAATCAGTATACACAGAGACACGATCATTTTCTTGCATGTTTTGTAATAAGTGAATTAAGTATCTTATTGGCCGATCACTCTTTACGGATTAAATAAAAAATAAAAATGAAATAAAATACGGTTTGAACATAAGCCAAATATGTAGGGCAATCAAGGTACAACGGCCTTCATTAGTGGCATGTCCCCCATGACAATGAATGACCCCATATTTCTTTTGTGACGGGAGATAAAATTATTGAACTAGGGCTCGGTCGAGTCCAACACTGCACATTTAGTTTAACACGTATTTCATTAATGTAAAATTGTTGATAACATTGATGTATGATGGAAAAAATGATCGAAACGCTCGGTACGAATCCGACAAGAAGCTTGTATCATAAGATTCCCTGCCTGACGGCTTTTCAGTAAAAACGAATAATATAAAGCGTACGTGATACGTCCTAAGTATCGAAGCGACGCCGCTGATTTTTTCTGTTTATTATTATTATTTTTTATTGGCTCGATAAATTTTTCCATCCACATGATTAACAATTTAAGTTGTAACAGATCTTTGGAAATTATTTCAAGTAGAGTTACACTTTTATGTACAAACACATAACCTCACTCTTTTATCATTTATTTGTCTTTTCCTTTGCAATTGTTTTTGCGTTGCCCTGCTGCAGTATGGAAGAAGTATGGAGATTTCTCGTTGTTGTGGCGCGATTTTTGCGCGATGTTTGGTTGATTATAAAATCTTGCTAGTTTTGTATTCTATTTCCTAACATACATGATTCGGTTAGTTATTTGGACATCATAATTTATTTCAAGTCAACTAAGCGTTTTAATTTATGGATTTAGAGGGAGTAACTATGTATATCACGGTAACCTTTATAATAACACCGATGTTATGGTTATATATAGACATTATTCCATAAATGTTTTTGTACGAATTCTAGACATTGCCCACAACCATAATTTCGATTATTGCACTTTCAGCTTGAAAAATAGATAGATAGCAACGGAGAGAGAGAGAGAGAGAGAGAGAGAGAGAGAGAGAGAGAGTGAGGGAGGGAGAAAATGTGAGGGATTGAGAGAGGGGAGAGAGAGAGATAGTGTGGGTAATGGAGAGAGTGAAAGAAAGCGAGAGAGAAGACCTACACGCAGTGTTAATAATGTAATCTTGGTTAGAACAAACATAACCTCTCTCCAGTCACACTTTACTTGTGTGAAATAAAGATATTCCATATAAATAATAAAACAGATGTCTTGAGGGAAAGAGAGTGAGGGAGAAAGAGAAAGAAATAGAGGGATAAATAGACAGAGAGTAAGATTATTTCCATCCTTTAGACATCAATATTCAATCAGTAAAATAAGCGTATTTAAAAAAAAGGAGTCGTTTTATTGGTTCAGTTTAATTTAATAAAGAGCAGATCAAAATTCCGTAATGGATTAAATGGGTAAATGAAATTAAAGTTAAAACTTGTTCATGTTACACACGCAAAGACAAAAACACTTGTATTTTACATAATAAAAATTAATAGTTGACTTAAAATGGCGTTAAACCTTTATAGAAAGTTACTAATCCTTTTACACTCTTTAAATAAAAATAAAGAAAAACAATTTTACTTTATCCTTTCCAGAGGTACTTTTCGAGGGAGTTAATAGGTTTTTTTTTAAATGCCTTCTTTGATGAAACAATAAATTTAAGTAAAACCTTAAACAAATCTTTTTTTTCTTAAAAGCATGGTTTTAAGGGGAGAAGTTTTCGCTCCGGCAGATGCTGTGGGCCAACGCCGAATGTAGCGTCCGATGCAGTTTAGAGACGGTAGTGGGCAACCGCGAAGCACAATCGTTTTATTCCACTTCGGAACCATCGTTTAACGGTTTCATTGATAGGCAGTCAACTCCAAATGGTCCGAAATGTAAGGACGAGCTCTATAAAACAGCCATCCGAAAGCTGCTTCGTGAATACCCTAGTCTTTAGGTGTCCCGTTTCAGGTTCTCTACTTCTGGAGAGGCATCGAGAAGAGAGGCGACTGTTTCGCCTACATCTCGCTTGGACAGTTGAAAAATGGGAGGGGGTTGTATTCTTGACCAGAACCGTGAATGGAGAACACTTTGCTTCATGTGCCATGCGTGAATCACAGCCTTTTCAAAGGCAGTCAGTTATGGTATGGAGTGGAATCATCGTCCATGCCCCTACCGAACTTATTGCCGTACAGAGGGATCTTTGACTGGACTAATGTACATTGATAAACCTATTCTGGAAGTTCTGGTCCTATTCGCTCAATTTAATGGGGACGACTTCGTGTAAATGCGCGATAATGCTCAACCGCATGTAGCTCGAGTTGTCACCATTTCTTGGAGAATGCAGGAATTACCACAATGAAAATTGGCCAGCACCTTCTCGACATGATAAAGAGACAGGTTAGAAATCGTTCGCTGCCTCCAGCAAGCGTTGAACAGCATCAAACCACTTTTGTTAAAGAATGGGATTCTGTCTCACATGACGAAATCCGATCACTCATTTACTCGATGCCTAGGAGATTTAAGGCAGGTAATACATGTTCATAAGAGCAAAACATGGTAATAAATTGTTAGTTAAATTTTAACCTATTACTAAATAATTTTCCGGTCTTTTAGTGAATTTTCTTTCAAACCATCATAATTAAATAATTTTTATTAAAACTCATGAATTTCTGATCCTCATTAATTTGGTTTGCATTAACATAAGTAAATTGTAATTAATGTAACGATAAAAATACATGTAGTTTTAAATAAACAATAAAATACGCTTGTCCGGTTTTTTGTTTTTGAACGTATTTTATTGTATTAACACAAAATTGTAGATATTAAGTGAATGAAACCTGAACGTTTACAGTTAGCATTAAACCCAAAGTGAACCGTATTCAGTTAGTTGTAGCTGCAACATTTTTTTCGTTGTTAACAAATGTTCTTTGTTATAAAAATTATTAAGATAATCATCTATAATTTTGGCCATCAAAAGCTACTATTTGTACGTATGGAACATTTATTGGCAATTCAAAATCTTTGACCTGAAAGACATTTCTTTAATTTTACCTGTAACAAAACAAACTTTAATAAACGACTAACAAAGGTATTTTGTTTTATTTTTGAAGCCTAAATCACCTATTATATATTGTAGTATTTGAAGAATTTTCGAAAATTTCTTGCTCCTTGCCACACATTTCAATGCTTATTCCACAAAGTCTGTTAGTGAATTCTTTAAAGTTTTCAGGTCTGAACATACTTTCATGATTCTGTAAAAAATCCAAGATTGTTGATGAATTTTGAATTTTTAACACGTCTTTTTAGTATATATAACGCAGTTATCGTTTAACTTTGCTGGAGACGTGACTGAATTCTTCAGGGAAAGGTGTCTGATTTACAAATTTGAGGTACATGGTATATTGACGTGTTGATTTTCTACCGATTTTTTTGAACGGCGAACTCTGGTTCGTCCAGATCGCATTCAACATAAAATGATTTACGATTACAGGAACTTCATCGCTTGAAATCGCACTGCTCAGGACAGTGTAACAAATCGGTGCAATGTCAATGATAACTCTTTCCTAGATTTCATTGCGAATTCAGCTTCTACTCGGACGATATCGCATCGCAGCTTAAGTCAAGCGTCTGTGTATTTTATGGCATAAACTTGAAAAAAGTCAGTTTACTTAACATGTTATATTTAGTTGTGCTTGTTGATCTGTTCGGAAAGCTTAAACGTGTCTTGCTGGCAATAACAGAGAGGATAGGGCGGTCAAAATGATCAGAAACGACCAACCACTCAACAGACCCTAAGAGGAAATCTCACAATAAGTTCTACACCATTGAAGAGAGGACATGTATTTTTCCTTTTTTCTCTTCTCCATTGTATTGTTTTCCCAAATATATCCTATTTTGTCGTGACGTAATCCAAGCCCTGAAAAGCACATCCTAACCCTTAATACGTTCTTATGAATCGTTTGTAGAAAAAGAACAATTAAGAAAAGATTTTTGGTCACCTGCTCCACGTAACACCGCAGACTATTAACTCGGTGAAATTATGGGCTATTAAAAAAACACTGCCTCTTTTTTCAAGTATTGCAAGTTTTGTATCTGGATTCTCTGAATGGGATTTATCTAAAGCATCTACGAATGTAACACGGTTAAATTTCAATCGTCAGTAAATATTTACGAAGCGGATGGTTAGAACAAATAATGAATGTCAGAAAAGCTTGTTGAAATCCCCCCCCCCCAAATAAAAAACAACAGTATATAGGCAAAGGTTAGACATTGATATAAAGTATAATCTTTTATGGTTAATCAAAATGTCAATACTTTCAACATACTAAAACCTCATCATCATTGTTTATTGTATGGTTTGTAATTAATGTCTGTTTTATTGATAAATTCATACCGTCGTATAAGAAATTTCATTATGACATTCTTCAAAAGATTTACGGCTTTGATAGAAAAGCGCGCGCAATGATGTTTTTCCTTCTTCTTTCATTGACCCATGCCCATGCCGTTAATCGAGTTGGAAAGAGCATTTGATGAAATGAACCATTTTAATTACAAGCAACTGTAAAAAGGCATTAATTTTTGATCTCTCAAAATGCGTATAATGATATTTTTCTTTTAGAAATCGATTATTCATGAAGAGATACGAACATCACATTAACTGTTATGTAATGAGATGTTTTGTGGGCAAAACATTTCTCAAATATCACTATTTAATGAATGGACATTTTTGAAAAAGAGAACTAG